CTTTCCTTGGGCAGTGAACTCCCCAAAAAGGCCAACCAAGTTTTGGTCACTAAGGACGGGAATACCATATTAGTTGCAGATAAGTTTGGCGATGTATTCTCGTGTGTATGGTTCATCTTTATGGTCATTCGCTATCAGATTGCACTGACCGTTTCATCTTCAGCTATCCCATGGAGGCGCCAAAGTCGGATCGGGCAGAGGCAACGCCGAAATACGCACTAAATACTCTAGAAGGTCGCAAGTCCACAAATTCGCACCCGAATCCATCCCAAGGAAACCTTGTTCTGGGACATACGTCTAGCTTGACAGCAATGTCACTCACCTTGGATGAGAAATTCATCTTGACGGCGGATCGAGACGAACACATCCGGGTCAGCCATTTTCCGAATGGATATGATATAGAAAGATACTGTTTGGGTCATACCAAGTAAGTGTTGATCTGCTTAGGACGGGAAAGCATCGTGACTTGCGAATGAGATACTGATAACATCATAAATGATAGATATGTATCTTCAATGAAGCTACCGAACCATACACCTGGTATACTGATATCTGGTGGAGGTGATAGAAACATCTTCTTTTGGGACTACCTTGCTGGTACTGTTCTGAATCAAATCAGCATATGGGACGTCGTATATCCATCTATGAAGGTCTTTAGTCAACGAAGAAAGTTCCAAAAGCTTGAAGCAAAGGTAGGAACCGGTTGGAGAGCACGAAAACGAAAAGAAAAGGAAGCACGGGAAGAGAGGGAAAGGCTAGAACGTGAGGGAAGAAAGAAGGCAAAAATGGAAGGTTCAGTGTCAACTCCCGATGAAAATGCCTCTCGCAACAGTAAGTAGATACAAGGCGCCCTATGCCTGTCAAGCAAGTGGGCTCATGGCACTGATCGCATGGCTCTTTTGCCCAATCGTAGATCAGGACGCTACGGGAAGCGAGATAGGAGACCCCAGTACTGCGAGAATACCTCCTGGCGAGCTACAGAAAGATGAGAAACAGGAAGACGGTGAGGAAGGCGACATGATGGCCGTCGATACCGTCCAGGGTGGGATGGCGGTTAGCAGGCAGCGGTCTCAACTGCCCTCCTTAGACGATGTTATTGTGATCTCAAAGATTGAAACTTTACAATTTGGTCTGGAATATCTATTGGTTTTCACCGCTGTAGGGTGAGCTTTCTTTATTCATCATCTTTTCCGCACAATTTCCTTTTTGTATGGAGCAGTTCTGCCTCTCGCGTTAACCTCTGTACGAGTCTTCTGCTGACATGTCGTTTGCCCGGCTGTTGGAATGTTGGACTTTCGACGTAGATCCAACGTCGTCTTCTACGCCCCGTACAACCCCGCCACCTCAGCCCTATTGTCAGACGACACGATATACCGATACACGCTTTCCGCACCCATCCTGGATTTTGCCGTGCATTCATCAGGGATCAGTGCCTTGTCAACTTATATGACATCCTCTTCTTCCACCGATAAAACTGCTGCCGCATCAACTAGACAAAATAGGAACCGTATATGGGTCGCCATTGACCGTAATTTCTCGGAGAGGCAAGACCCCGAAACCAAAACGTCCACCCGGCAGGGGGACAGTGGAAAAACCCAAGGGAACGGCATGGAGGAGGTAAGCACCACAAGGCTTGAAAAGCTGGGGTTTTTCTCCTGAATATCACTGATGGGATCAACGGAAATTTAGGACGAAAAATCTGGAGTACTGAATACAGCCCCCACGGGGTTGGATGCAGATGTGGGAGGAGAAGTCAATGCGGATATAACTATGACTGAGCTAGGCAAGCCAACCATTTCGCGTGAAGGCCCTGTGACCACCATCAAAGACGTAAATATGGGTGCAACTACCCCTAACGATCGTTTAAACGGAATATATCTGCTCGAATGGAGAGGCGGTGAAACGGTAATTGTTCCTACTAGGGATTTCAATCGGATAACGGCAGACTAACGTGTCACTTCATTTTCATATTGCATCCGACTTTAGCTCGTCGAAGTTGAGGAGGCATTATCGCCGCTATTACAGACGTTCCGCAGTTTGACGTCCATTCCAGGTAAGAGCACAAATGAGGATTCCTCCTCATTTATCTTTCTATGATAATCATCTAACTATCCGAATACGTAAATGTGAACGACATAAAACATCTTGAATGCTTTCTACCCACGGAACCTTTTAACTGGCATTTCCTTTCCCATCCTGCGCAGCAACGCAAAAAGATATTCAAGCCTTGGATCTATACGGACCGTTAACCGCCTTACCAAAAACTGAGGAACTGGAAGAGCTTGAAGGGGTGGCCTCAGGTGAGGTGGAGGAGGCGTTGGATCGCTCTGCGTACCT